ACAAAAATGATTTTTCTAAGTTGTAAACAAAGCAGATTATGTTAGTATGTTTTACAAGAAAATACTATTTCAGTCTATCTACTTTAATATTTCATGTTTCATTACATGTGTTAATTGAATTTTCTTTGTAATTATCTATGATATTTTCTAGAACTTTCTGAGTGAAAATTGTTTGGAAGTCAATCCTACACCCTTTTTCAGTGTTGTACGTGTATAAATGGCTTGTTTTATTATAAATGTGCTTACATCAATCATTCATTTTTTGTGAGACCGCAACAGCTGAGTGCAAAATTTTTTTATATATGATAAGTGTACAAGTACAAAACGAAGCATACTTTGGGCTTACTGTTGGAAAGACTCTGCCTATATGAAAGCTGAGCTCTTTAGCAAATTGATTAATTGCAACCACACACCACATTCAGAGATATATATGCTAAAAAAGCAAGAAAGGAAGTATATTTGTATTTTAGCAGCATAAACTCAACACCGTTACCAGTCATTCAGAAAGAGACAACAAGCACAAACACAGCAGTAAACACAGACACCTGACAGGAAACACATCACACACATAAAAACGCACAAGTCGCAAGTGCCCACTGGAGTGCAGGGTAAGTATTTTTCTCTGAGTGCTTTCATCAATACTAACAAAGTGAATTGCGACTATAACATTACGTGCTAAAACCTTGAACTTTCACCCCCTGGCATGCCTATTGCAGTCCCAGGGCACAAGCAGGTGCAGTGAACATGCACAGATAAGCATTCTCTCATCACTGGTAGCACTTTAAGTGAAAGGGAATCCATTCCATGTTCGGAACATCACTGCTGAAAATCATATAAGCGCAGCTTACATAATGATTACGTTAAACCCATTTGACTAAAGAGCAACCAGTTGTGAGACATCAATATTCCAACAAATCCAAATACCCTATTCCCCTAACCCCCTTGCTGTGGCAACGACTTCGGCATCCCTGGCGGTAGCAACAAGGAAGGGAGGGGGATGGGGTTCAGCCAACACATGCTAGATTAGCTGGCTCTCATGAGGAAAGAATTGGTGTTGCCCATGCAGAATCTACAATACTCAGAATGTCTTACCCTGTCTTTCCCTATGAGACACTTTGCATGAACAGAAGACAAATAATGGGCGCAATATTAGTCAAATTTTGTTTGTGCTCAATATAGCAGAAAAAAAATCAACTGAATTTTACAACACAATGCCAGTACACTGTAAATAATGTTTGGAACAGTTGTAAAAATGTTACAATAAAAACCTTGTAATAGCTTAACTGTACGTTATCCTACCATATACCGCAAAATATTATCAAATTTATATTTTTGCAAGTATGAAGTATGAATTACTGAAAAGGACATCCCAGATGTCTATGCATGACACATCACACATGGTTATATTTTATTTAACCCTCGTGTTGTGTTTTGGTCATTTAGACCCAAGGAGGGATTTTGACCCATTTGAGGATTTTATTTTTTCATGAAGACGCTAATGTTATCACATTGGACAAAACATTACAGACTTTGCTCCCACAGGGTATAATGACTTCCAAAAAAAAAAAAGTTAATATTTTTTTGTTTTCCCGTCTTGTTACACTTGTGGTGTTCCCAGTCAAAAATGACCAACCTACAAAAAATTGCTTATATATCTCTTGCTACAGTATATTATGCTATATTAATCACCAAATCTTGGATTAAATCTTTTCATCAACTTGTTTTCTTTCAGTTAGTGCAGGTTTTGTATATCTTTTTGTAACTGATTGATCATTAGCTTCAATAATCTGAGCTTATGTAACTTTGAGTGAAAAGTTTCACTTTTTGAGTGGAAAAAGTATTATTTGTGGATAATTTTGACAATGTTCACTCAAAAACTGAGGTGCATAAGAGGGGCCAAGATTTGGTAATAATAATATAGCATAATGAGAAATTTACAAGCAATTTTTCTGTAGACCAGTCTTTTTTTTTATCAAATTAGGTAAAAAAATTAAATAAAATCAGTGCAGCACAAAAGTTAAATTGTTTCTTCTTGTATTTGTTATCAGTATTGTACATCATGTTATATTTTGTTGCATATTCTGTTATTAGGTTAACATTTTTGCATTGTTAGTGTTATGTGTATTATCCTGCTAGTGTTTTGTTTTTGTGTATAACCCTGTGCACTGTCTATAGTCCACTTACGACAAACTCTGAGTCATGATGATTCATCAGGCTTTCTATTGTACCACCTGTATTACTAATTTGGTGGTTTTCAGTACATTTTAAGATAGTTCAAGTAGCTATATTAACATTATATCACTGTTATAAGTTGTAAAACATACAGGCACCAATATGGAAAGGAGGAGGGTTGGAGGGGGAAGAGAAAAAGTGTGAAATTAAAATTGAAAATAAATGGTGAGAAATGGAAAGAAAGAGTGTGTGAAAAAGAGATGGGGAGAGGGAAGAGTGGGAGGGAAAAGTGTTAGTGAAGCAACCGAGTTTTCTCTTGTGCGTCAAAACAGACATATGCATAGAGAGTGACAAGGGCAATCAAAGATGCTTTAATAATTATAATTTTAAATCATGTTTAATACATGTAATGCTGAACTGTGGGTGATCAAAGGTTTGTTTTCTAATCTATACATAACAGCAGGCATGTCCAGCAATGGTCATGTATGGCTCTCTGGTAGAGATGAAATGTGAGAACAGAACTGACACCTCTAGACATGTTCTCCACTCATACCCAAATGAGAGCATCACAAAACGCAGATGAGGGGTCCAAGCAGCCTCACAGGATGCTTGTTCAACACCGTGAGGCCTCGCTGAATCTGTGCCTGTGCATCATATTTCTTAGACACATTGTGTTTGATTTAGGAGGTCTGTACATGACTTTGTCTCTGTAATGCCCCCAACAGGGAAACACAAGAACTACAGCTGTGCTCTGTTGCAGCCTTGGCCTTTCAAGGTATTGATTGATCCTGGGTGCTGGCAAGGGGAATTTGACACCAATTGATCTTTACAGTGAGAATTATCAGAAGTAAAAAAAAAAAAAAACTCTCAGGAGAAAATCTTAATCTTGACCATTAAGAGGATATGACCTTTTTGATTAGCATAAAAGCAGGTCTGAGTGATCAAGGCAGGGGCAGGAACCCTTGACAGGATGGTAAGCACATAAAAACTCTGGCATACACTCTTACAGATAATCTACCTCTGTTTGTAATGCACACATATACAGTAAAATACAGTAAAATGTAGTTTAAGAATTATGAATACAGCAATATGGAAATTCCGGGTAATTATTTTCATTTAATGGCTGGTAACTGATATATACTTATGTTAAGTGAATTTGGGCATTTAGGCATCACAGCATGTACACTTTTAAATTAAAGGTTCTTTATTGCCATTGATGGTTCCATGAAGAACCTTTAAGATACATGGAATCTTTCTATTCCACAAAATGTTCTTATTAGTGGAAAAAAGTTCTTTAGATGATTAATTAAAATGTTCTTCACACTAAGAAAAGAACGGTTCGTTTAAGAACTGATTACTGAAAGGTTCTTTGGGGAACTAAAAATGGTTCTTCTGCATCGCTGCCAAAACAATGTTTTGGAGTTTTTACGTTTAGGAATGTTTAATTTTCCTTGAAACTTGTTCTGAAAAATACTGTTTGAATAAGAAAATAAGTCCTCATAATAACAGAGGAGGTTCAGAGTTATAAATCAAGTTAACATGTCTGGTCTGAAACTGAATTTACTATGCCTTTAAAAACATTAATAAAGATTGTTGTACTTTTTCATGAAAATCAACTCATTTTTATGTACAAACGCATGTTATATGTGCACACCAAATCACTCTATCATGCTTGTAAAAATGTTAAAGTTTGGCATATTATTTTTCTATATCTTCAAAAGGATAGTTCAACTAAAAATTAAAATTCTGTCATCAATTACTCACCCTCATGTAGTTCCAAACTCATAAGAGTTTTTATAAGTATATAATGATAAATAAAACAAAATATATTTTACGATAAACAATATTTTTATTAAATCAGAGATTTCTGTCCCTCCACTGCAAGTCAGTTCCACCAAAATGTTCACATATTGTCAAGAGTATGAGAACTGGAAGCACAGGAATCTCTCAGGTTTCATGAAAAATACTTCATTTGTGTTTAGAAAATCTTATGGATTTGGAACTGCATGAGGATAAGTAATTAATGACAGAATTTTCATATAAAAATTAGTGCTAGATAATGATCTAGATCTTAAAATAGGCAGATACAATTAAGCATCTGATATCAGCTTAAAATCACCAATACAGACCAGTTATTAATATGATACCAATATACTGTGCATCCCTAATGTAAACACCATTATAGGGTTGAGCTGCCATAATATGCTTTATGTCATATTAACAGTAAATACAGAAAACTGCTTTTAGAGTCCCACTGTTACTATTCCTTATTGAAAGTTTTGAAATGGACTAGATGTGACAGTAGGGGACCTCACCCAGCTGGGCAGGACGGAACTAAGGCAGATTGTTCCTCAGCATGCCCAGTGAGATGAGTCCATGTGTCTTTAGAGAGACAGCACGCAAGGATGGGATCCTAAAATAGACCCTCGCAGATTGTGCTGCTGGAAAAGGTCCCACACATTACCCTGCTGGTTCTTAGCAAAGTCAATGAAGATTTCACTCAAAGAAGAGTCTTTATAAAGCTCAGAGGAGCTGTGGGTGGTTTGGACTCGCAGCCCAAATCTGTAGACTTGTGCAGATAGGAGAAACTGAGATTTAACTGTACAGATTCTGGATTTGGACTCTGTAATCGCTCTGATTCGTATGGTTTATACAGATTCAGCAAATTCCACATCAGGGAATCAACCAAACAACCGGTATGTAGTTACAAACAGAAAAGAACACTCAAGCAAGCATAATAAAACAAATTAAATTTTAAAATGAAATGGAACTGACAACATGGAGGGTGAGTGGAAAAAAGCAATGAAAGTCTCTCAGCGGGTTCTTACGTTATTTGAGCGCAGCGACACTCTTCCCCCACAGCGGGCGCAGAACTTGGTCTGGCAGTAGGAACACAGATGCCCACAGCCATCTGCAAACTTGGTCTTACGGCAGATGCCACAAGTAGGTGCATCATCTTTATGGACAGCCTGCTGTCGTTTCGTTTCTGCCCCAATCTTCCTCACCTGCTCCTTATAACTCTCAAACTGCTGGTGCAGTGTCCTGACAGAAAATTAAAGAGGGAGAAAGAAAGAGAGAAAAGGGAAGCAGTTTGTATTGTTAGAAAAACTGTTATCTACAACTAAAACTATTAAAATTGTTATGAAGTATTGCAGACGATCAACTAAAAATTGTATTTTCCAGATAAACATGAATGTATCCTGACAACGTGTATGAACTATAGGGGTGATGGACAGCATTTAGCTCATGTACAACATCATATTATATCCGAAATGTGTCTTATAGTTAGGTGTCTCATCTGAATTGTAACCTAACTCCACTTTGTTTGTCTTCTCCGAATAAAAATAAACTGTTAATGAATTGCCAATGAGGCACTGCTGTCTGCTTTAAAAAGATGGGGCTTCGTTCCAGAAACATTTCTCAAAGGAACATCACATTAGCATAACAGTTCTCTTATAGCATGTGGTTAGCAGCTCTAATGACCACGGTAAAGACATTAAGCCATTTAAAATAGATTCCCCTGAAAAAAAGACACAGCTCATTGTCAATTGTGAATTCATTGCACGCATTTCTTTGTAAAAGTTGCCTCTAACACTATTGGCTGACAGGTAACCAAAAACGTTCATCCTCACCTTCTACCCAATATCCCCCAGTTTTGTTCATCCCCATTAAATGTACTTCGGTTACACTGCAGTAAAAATCATTCTTCATGAAAACAAAACTGCAAAAACAAGTGCAAAGCATCACCTCTGTTTGTGGCGAACAGCCATGATCTGCAATTTTCTTTCAAAATCCCAAACCTGCATAAAACAGTGACTCCAGAATCCACTGAAACTCTCGAATAAAAGCACACTTCCCACGACTTCTGGTCTCCATGACTGTAAATGCTAGCGTTCTCTCTTGCTTGACCACATTTGCAGTTTCCCGTTTGGAATCAGACAGCAGACTGCAGTCCCAGGTATCTGGATGGAGGTTGTGACTTTGGGGAGTCTTGGCCAGTGATGCTATATTACGCAGTCAGGATGAAGCGTTACGTGGGAAGTCGAAGGCGTGGCGACAAGGATGAATCATTGGCAGAGGAATCAAAGAAAAGAAAAGTGACCTCTTTAAGGTTATGAGTGGATGTGCTTAAGGAGATTTATGGACATTTTATGTGCATTTATACACACATATTGAATCAGGTTTGGCAAACAGATCTTCTAAACGAGACAAAAATGTGTATGAATTTCCAGAAGAATGAAGATTACAAACATGAAGTCATTTTTCAGGAAAGTAATACAACCACTTATGGGTAAACTTCTTTAAGTTTACTAGAGTTACATTTGAAGACGTTGACCTCTGAGAATGCTGTTGAGGTGGAGAGAGTTGAGTCTTTTGGGTCAGTGCTCTCAGCTGGGAATAGCTGTCATGGTAGCAAGGGACCAGGTCTCCAGCCATCATGGAAACACAAGTAAGCCAGCTCTACACCTCTTAAAGGAACAGTTCACCTAATAATGGAAATTCTGTCATCGTTTACTCACCCTCGTGTCACTGTCATTTCAAACCCTTATAGCCTTCTTCCGTAAAATATACAGAATATAATCTATCTATCTATCTATCTATAGTGCCGTGAATAGGTTTTTGCCCCCTTCCTTTTTTTTTGCATATTTGTCACACTTAAAAGATTCATATCATCAAACAAATTTTAATATTACACAAAGATAATGCAAGTAAATACAAAATGCAGTTTTTAAATGATGATTTCAATTATTAAGGGAAAAAAGCTGTCCAAACCTACCTGGCCCTACGTGAAAAAATAATTGCCCCCCCCCTATTAAATCATGAAAGAACTGTGATTAACCACATTTTTTTAGAAAGCTGAGTTAAATTTCACTAGCCACACCCAGGCCTGATTACTGCCAGACCTGTTGAATCAAGAAATCACTTAAATAGAATCTGTCTGACAAAGTGAAGCATGCTTAAAGAGCAACACATCATGCCGCGATCTAAAGAAATTTAAGAACAGATGAGCAACAAAATAAAGGCTTATAAAGCCATTTCTAAGACTTTGGGACTCGAACCTCGGTCAGAGCCATTATCCACAAATGGAGAAAACTTGGAACAGTGGTGAACCTTCCCAGGAGTGGCCGGCCTACCAAAATTACTCCAAGAGCGCAACGACGACTCATCCAGGTGGTGATAAAAGAACCCAGAACATCATCTAAAGAACTGCAGGCCTCACTTGCCTCAGTTAAGGTCAGTGTTCATGATTCAACAATAAGAAAGAGACTGGGCAAAAACGGCATCCATGGGAGAGGTCAGAGGCAAAATCCATTGCTGACCAAAAAGAACACAATTTGCCAAAAAATATCTTGATTATCACCAAGACTGTGGACTGATGCGACAAAAGTTGAACATTTTGGAAGGTGTGTGTCCCGTTACATCCAGCGTAAAACCAACACAGCATTTCATAAAAAGAACATCATAGCAACAGTCAAACATGGTGGTGGTAGTGTGATGGTCTGGGGCTGCTTTGCAGCTTCAGGACCTGGACGACTTGCCATAATTGATGGAACCATGAATTCTGCACTCTATCAGAAAATCCTGAAGGAGAATATCCGGCCGTCAGTTTGTGACCTCAAGCTCAAGCGCACTTGGGTTATGCAGGAGGACGATGATCCCAAACACACCAGCAAGTCCACCTCCACAGCGATGTGAAAGACTCATTGCCAGTTAATGCAAACGCTTGATTGCAGTTGTTGCTGCAAAGGGTGGCACAACCAGTTATTAGATTTAGGGGGCAATTACTTTTTCACGTAGTGCCAGGCAGGTTTGGACAGCTTTTTCCCCTTAACAAATGAAATCATTATTTCAAAACTGCCTTTTGTATTTACTCGGGTTATTTCTGTGTAATATTAAAATTAGTTTGATCTGAATCTCTTAAGCGTAACAAATACGCAAAAAATAAAAAAACAGGAAGGGGGCAAAAACCTTTTCACGGCACTGTAGATAGATGATAGATAGATAGATAGATAGATAGATAG